GGTCCTTCTCTGAATGATGTGTGAATGGTGAGATATCTCTCCTTAGGGGCATTGGCTCAACATGTCTTCTTTTTGCTGGCCATGGGGTGGCCTGCAAAATAAAGATGGGAGTTGCGTTTCCGTTGGCTGTCATTATGATTTAGTATTTTCAATAACGTAAAGTGGTTGTAAACCTTTACATATAGCCAGTGAAGTGACTGGCCTCAGCTTATGCACAGAGATGAATCAAATCCTCCTGTATACATTGTACCTGTTTATCTGACGTCTTCGCCTTTCTACCACTGTTCCAAGGCCAGATTTTATAAAGCTTGTCTGAGCTTTCAGAAACCAATGGCTGGGGAGCTGAAGTTAAAGCTCAGTGAGGAGAGCTCTGAAAGCTGATTGGAGAGAAGGGACACACCCCCTTCACACAGCACACAGGAACAGAGATGCCTGTCAATCACAGGCTGTACGCTGGAGGTCCCTCCCCTGTCACCTTTTTTCTCATAGTGTCAGGAAAACTTGTCAGAAGTGACTCATGCTGATAGCAGAGGAGTAAAGCAGCAGACAGAAATGAAAGTTAGTACTCTTAGTTGAGACATGTACACACTGTAGAGGAGGGGGAAACCTACTGCATAAACCACTGGGCTGAAGGAAAGAAAATTGCTTAGGCAAGCCACAGATTATTTAATTTTCTTTCCTTTCACCATGGGTTGCATTAAAGAAAATTGTTTGATTCCCCCATCAACAAAGTCAGTGTTGATGGTGGAAACCCTCCCGCAGCTCTGCTGTGTTCTCCCAGAGGGGAGCCTTCTCTGGCAGAAGAACACAATGAACATTGCCACTGACAGTAATTGCATGTAAATAATCTGACAGGCTGGTTGTACCAAAACCGATCAATGAATCGCATCTCTGCCGGTCCCTGCTGAACCAGCAGAGATTCGATCCATCTATGGCTGGCTTTAATGTGTGGCTAGGCTATGAGTAGCCAAGCAAATTAATGCACAGAAATAAAGGGTTAAACAAAAGTAAACCAACTCACCTGATAATAGAACTTTCATCACACACAGTTTATTTAGTGCTGGGCTGACTATCTATGCCAGTGTTTCTCAGCCTTTTTTCAGTCAAGGCACCCTTTAAAATTACAAACAGTCCTGAGGCACCCTTTAAATTATGGACAGTCTTGAGGCACCCCATTCTAAAATGTGAAAAACTATTCTAATAATTTTAGATAACACAGCAACATCCACACATGTAGGACCCCCAACATTAGAGGGGATTTATTCTTCCAAAGCATATACAATTTTGCACACTGGTACTGACTAGTATTCCTATGTTTCTCTTCTCCCTCAGTTTTTATCCACCACTGAGCTAATGTGACCCCAGCACTGATGGAGAGGGGCAGGGGAGGGGCAAACTAGGATGCTGTGCAGGCAGCTGACATCCTCCTTATCAACTGATGATGTCATTGGTTGTCAGGATGCTGGCAGCTAGAAGGTTGTAATGGTGCACAATGAAAACCTGTGGCTTTGTGTAACTAAAAGGCAGGCTTGTTCCACCCGCTGGTTTGTATACAAGTTTTGGGCAGTTTTTAGACATTTAGTAGACTGTCTTCAATAGAAATAAATGTCAAGTATACTGGACATTGCCTCCTTACTGAAAATTAGTTTCTGCTGAGGACAGCCTATAAAGTTGCCCTTTGCCTATATTTGACTTATGGACCTTTATATAGTACATCTTAAGATACTTTTGACCAAGGCAACAGAAATGTTTCTTAACTACACTCATTTTTTTGGTCAAGGGTTGAGCAAGACGATCAGATAAAACCCATTCAGATATGGGATATAAATTTTGTTCACTTTTAATGGGTTGGGGGACAGGTGTGCTTCTGTATATTTTTGGATTAAATTGTTTGGATTTTTTAAATTTAAAGCCTAAGTGTAGCTAAAATATATAACTGAAAAATCAGCACCAGGGTCAAAATGTCAGTAGAATGTGTCCCTTGTGCTGATTCCTCTATTAGTAGAAATCCTCTTCCAATATGCAGTAGGGGTCAAACCTGCCACATTTGCCTGATTTGGAACATTATGGTGTAATACCTCATGTTACATCTATTGGTTGGGATTGGTGACATGTAATCCACTTATAGCTACGTAATTGAATCAACGCTGATACAGCTGTATTGATTGACTCTATTACCTGACATATAATTGAGATGCAGCATAGTCAGCAATGGCAGATGCTGACTATGCTTAAGACACAGGGGCGGACTGGCCATTGGAGAACTCGGGCACTGCTCGAGGGCCCTGGGTCAGTAGGGGGCCCCATGCGATGCCCCTGGTACCTTTCATAGGCTTTTTTGGGTGTGATTTGAGTGTGGGCGAAGACACGGGCCCCATGATCCCCTATTGCCCGGGGGCCCCATGAGTTGTCAGTCCGCCTCTGTTAAGACATGCCCTGCATACCTGCTGTATCTCTTGTTGAGTTTGGAGATTTTCTATACAGAGGCTGATGAATATTGTATTTGATCTATTGATTGAATGTGGCTTTAACTTCTTCCCTTCTGGCCCATGTCGATAAACGGCCAGACAGGAGCTCTGCCGATGCGGGGGGATGTTTCTAAACGTCCCCCTGCATCCATTGCGTGTGCATGCTCCCTGGGAGCGAGTGGGACCGCGATCAGTGCCAACGGAACACAGATCGCTGTACGGGACCTCTGTGTGAAGTCCTGATTCATGTGGTCACTGATTGGCCAATCAGTGATCACATGAATAGTAGTAAACAAGATGTCACTTCCTGACATCAATGTATACTACATGTGAAATCCGTGAATGATCAAAGAGGTCACATGGTACAAGGCTATTCACAACAGCCTTGTTCCATGTGACAAGCTGTGACCAATCACAGCTCACACAGTATTTCTCAATGGCTGCTGGAATGCAGCCAGGGAGGAGAAATGATTGCTGTTACAGCCTTTATGGGTGTAAAAGCAATCAGTGTAAAAAAAAGAAAAAAAATCTTCGTCACCCCCACAAGCAGTACAGTGTCACTATGTTGACACTGTACTGCTACGGTGACAGTATGTTAAAAAAAACATAAATAATAATATAAAAAAATAAAATACAAATGTAGAATTTTTTTTTTTTAATTATAATTTTTTTACTAAAAAGATAGATGAATACATTTTGGCCAAAATGTATGAAGAAAGATTATTTATTTGCAAATTTGTATAAGAAAAACACTTTTTTCATTTATATAGCAAAACAAATAAAAATCCCAGTGGTGAATAAATACCACCAAAATAAAGTTTTATCTGTCTAAAAAAAGGCCAAAAAATTCATATGGGTACAGTGTTGCATGACCGTGCAATTGTCATTCAAAGTGTGACAGCGCTGAAGGCTGAAAATTGGCCTGGACTGAAAGGGGGTTTAAGTGTTTGGACTTGAAGTGGTTAAGTACAATTTGGAGTTCACTCTCTGCAGGGGATAGTGGGAAGGCACTGCTATTATTCATCCACTATAAAGCCCTGCAAGCTGTATTTTCAACTTACAACTTTTTAAAAGTTGCATAGTTTTCTTTGTAACAAGCCTATTCTTCTCTACTTATAGCACACATTGGCATGCCATGATATCAAAGCTCCTGAACCTGTATGGTGGGTTTAATGTTTAAATGGGTACAAAACCCATGACCCTGCATTTACTATATCTAATCTTCCATAGTACACAGAACATGGAAATGCAATTATTTTAGTAAATATAAAATGCTAAATACCTTTTCTCATCAGCAGTGTATAGTCTTGTGACTTCTATCAGTGTCCAGCTGAGCACTGGTTAATCTTGTAGGAGGATTTATCATTTTCCTCTGAGTGTCCTTTGAGGTTGCATGATGCCTGACCCTCGGTCTGGACAGTGCTGATTGGCCATGTGCTGATCACATGCACCTTCCCAAAGAAAAAAAAAACTTTCTAGCTGTGCACACTAAACTGAGCATGCGCAGAGTGTCCTTTAGCGCTCTGTTCTATTAGAAGATGGATTGGGGACAGTAGAAGAAGGGGAGGATCGGAGAAGACAGGATCAAACTGTCTTTTACAAATGTGGATGATTAACCCCTTAGCTTTCACATTGAATAGAACAAGCATGCTTTGCTGTATATACAGACTGATTTTACTGATGTGGGTTTAGTAAAACTTTAAGGTGGATTGAACATACTGTATATAGTGGATGCAACTGCACAGTGGAATATAGGAAGGAGAAAACCACTATGACCCCCCCATGTAGGTTCTCCATTACTAAACCCCGCGGGTGGGGCGGAACACATCATGCGGAGAGACATGGATGGAACTGGGCTGAGGCTGCTTTTCACTTTAGTGATTGTTGGCTTTTGCTGGTGTGCAGCGTTTGGGGGTTTTCTCCTTCCTATATTGCATGCATCAAGCCAGGACAGGCACTTCCCAAGCCAGGACAGGCACTTCCCAAGCCAGAACACTCAGTGTGAGTTACCTGATCTGGACACAGGAACCTTTAGTTCTTTTGTTACATAGTGGAATACTGACCCACACCATCCAGAGAAAACGACATTGGGATGTTTGCTGTGAAATTCTATGGAAGTTTATCCTTAATTTGGTGCTTTGAATAGCCCTTCCTCTAGATCAGTGGTTCTCAACCTTCCTAATGCCGTGACCCTTTAATACAGTTCCTCATGTTGTGGTGACCCCCAACCATAAAATTATTTATCCAGTAATTATAATTCATGAGTGTCGTTTTACCTCCAATACTGCTGCTTTCAACACAGTAGCTGCTTTTAACAGAGTAGCTGCTTTCAACACAGCAGCTGCTTTCTACACAGTAGCTGCTTTCAACACAGCAGCTGCTTTCTACACAGTAGCTGCTCTTTGCACATCGGAAATATGTGTTTTCTGATGGTCTTAGGGGACCCCTGTGAAAGGGTCGTTCGGCCCCCAAAGGGGTCGCGACCCACAGGTTGAGAACCACTGCTCTAGATCCATTCAAAAATAATACATTATCTTGAATGTTTTTGCTTGATCCCAGTATGATATACTGTATAGAAATATGGGAACTTGGAACCTATGCCTTGGCCAGGTTTTAATTTTAACATATAGCATTATTGCTGTAATAAATTTGTCCAACTTGGTGTTATAAGCAGTTGTTTTTTCAGTTTTGGTTACCTTTTTCTTAATTGTTTTAGGCATTGATTTATTTCATATACTATACTGGTTGATTGAGTCTCAGTCATGTTTTTATTTTTTGTTGGTTTCACATTTTGGACATACCTCAATGGACAATGAAGCAGCGGCCACACAGTGGTACAAAGGTTAACTCTATGCCTTCCTCTTCCATGGCTATGGTTACAATTTTAGATTGACAGCACTGCGCAAACCAGTATTGCTAGTTTTTCCTCCCACAGTCCTGTTGAGCAGGAGGAGCTAATATAAGGAAAAATGTGGGCACTTAATTAATTAACTAATTGCATTTAAAATTAAATACAATTTTATTTTAATGGGCAGCACAGTGACTAAGTGGTTAGCACTTCCACCTAGCAGTACTAGCGTTGTTGGTTCGAATCCCAACCACAATACTATCTGCCTAGAGTCTGCATGTTCTCCCTGTGCCCGCATGGGTTTCCTCTGGGTACTCCAGTTTCCTCCTACACTCCAAAGACATGCTGGTAGGTTGATTGTCTCCTGTCTAAATTGACCCACTATATTGCTACACTATACAATATACACTATATTCCAAAAGTATTGGGACGCCTGCCTTTACCCGCATATGAACATTAATGGCATCCCAGTCTAGTCCGTAGGTTTCAGTATTGAGTTGGCCCACCCTTTGCAGCTATAACAGCTTCAACTCTTCTGGGAAGGCTGTCCACAAGGTTTAGAAGTGTGTTTATGAGAATGTTTGACCATTCTTCCGGAAGCACATTTGTAAGGTCAGACACTGATGTCGGAAGAGAAGGCCTGGCTCTCAGTCGCCACTCTAATTCATCACAAAGGTGTTCTATTGGGTTGAGGTCAGGACTCTGTGCAGGTCAGTCAAGTTCCTCTACACCAAACTCGTTCATCCATGTCTTTATGGACCTTGCTTTGTGCACTGGTGTGCAGTCATGTTGGAAAAGGAAGGGGTCATCTCAAAATTGTTCCAACAAAGTTGGGAGCATGAAATTGTCCAAAATGTCTTGGTATGCTGACATCTTAAGAGTTCCCTTCACTGAAACTAAGGGGCCAAGCCCAACCCCTGAAAAACAACCCCACACCATAATAACCCCCTCCACCAAACTTTACACTTGGCACAATGCAGTCAGGCAAGTACTGTTCTCCTGGCAACCACCAAACCCAGACACATCCATCGGATTGCCAGACAGGGAAGCATGATTTTTCACTCCAGAGGACATGCCTCCACTACTCTAGAGTCCAGTGGCAGCGTGCTTTACACCACTGCACCCAAGGCTTTGCATTGTGCTTGATGTAAGGCTTGGATGCAGGTGCTCGGCCATGGAAAGTTGCTGTTGTTCCCAGTTGCTTCCACTTTGTTATAATATTTAGTAGCAAGAAAATTTCACAGATGAACTTATTGCACAGGTGGCAACCTATCACGGTACCACCCATGAATTCACTGAACTCCTGAGAGCGACCCATTCTTTCGCAATGTTTGTAGAAGCAGTCTGCATGCCTAATTGCTTGATTTTATACAGCTGTGGCCATGGAGGTGATTGGAACATCTGAATCCAATGATTTGGAGGGGTGTCCCAATACTTTTGGCAATACAGTGAATGTACAGTTGGGAAAATAATTATTTGATCCCCTGCAGATTTTGTAAGTTTTCTCACTTACAAAGAAATGAAAAGTCTATAATTTTTATCATAGGTGTATTTTAAATGATAGAGACAGAATATCAACCAAAAATCCAGAAAAAAACTCATGATACAAATGTTATAAATTGAGTTGTAGACCAGTGAGTAAAATATGTATTTGATCCCCTACCAACCAACAGTAATTCTAGCTCCCACAGACTGGCTATGTGTTCATGTGGTACACAGATTAGTTCTGTCAATTTAAGAAGGTGCTCCTAATGAAAACTCATTATATGAATAAAAGACACCTGCCCACAGAATCTTTTTCTTGGGCACCATCATGCAAAACCAAAGAGCTGTCAAAGAACATCAGAGACAAGATTGTAGACCTACACAAGCCTGGAATGGGCTACAAGACCATCAGCAAGAAGCTTGGTGGGAAGGAGACAACTGTTGAAGCAATTATTCACAAATGGAAGAAATACACAAAATAAAAAATCGCTCTCGGTCTGGAGCTCTGTGCAAGATTTCACCTCATGGGGTAAGGATGATCATGAGAAAAGTGAGGGATCAGCTCAGAACTGCACGGGAGGCATTTGTGAATGATCTCTAGGCAGTTGGGACCACAGTCACCAAACAAACCATTGGCAACAAAATATGCTGCCATGGATTGAAATCCTGCAGTGCCTGCAAGGTCCCCCTCCTCAAGAAGACATATGCACAGGCCTGTCTGAAGTTTGCCAATGAAAATCTAAATTCTTCAGAGAAGGATTGGGAAAATGTGCTGTGGTCAGATGAGACCAGCATTGAGCTCTTTGGCATTAACTAGACTTGCTGTGTTTGGAGGAAGAAAAATGCTGAGTATGACCCTAAGAACACCATCCCTACAGTCAAGCACGAAGCTTTGGGACTGTTTCTCTGCTAAATGTACAGGTTGACTTTGCCGCATTGAGGGGCCAATGGACGAGGCCATGTATTGTAAAATCTTGGATGAGAACCTTCTTCCCTCAGCCTGAACACTGAGTATGGGTTTTTCAGTAAGACAATGACCCAAAACATAACGTCACGACAACAAAGGAGTGGCTCAAGAAGAAGCACATTAAGGTCATGGAGTGTCCTAGTAAGTCTCCAGACCTTAATCCTATAGAAAATTTATGGAGGGAGCTGAAACTTCGAGTTGCCAAGTGACAGCCAAGAAACCTTAAGAATTTAGAGAAGATCTGTAAAGAAGAGTGGACCAAAATCCCTCCTGAGATTTCTGCAAACCTGGTAACCAACTATAAGAAACGTCTTACCTCTGTGCTTTCTAACAAGGGTTTCTCCAGCAAGTACTAAGTCATGTTTTGCTTGGGGATCAAATACTTATTTTACTCATTAAATTGCAACTCAATTTATAACATTTGTATTGTGTTTTTTTTCTGTTTTTTTTGGTTGATGTTCTGTCTCTATCCTTTAAAATACACCTAAGATAAAAGTTATAGGCCCTTAATTTCTTTTTAAGTGGGAAAACTTACAAAATCTGAATTGGAGCACATAATTATTTATCTCACTGTATGAATGAAAGTTTGGGACCTTAGATTGTAAGCTCCTTGAGGGGAAGGAACTGATGTGAATGTATAATATATATATGTAAAGCTCTGTGTAAATTGATAGCGCTATAAAAGAACCTATGTAGCACCCTCCTAGTTAGCTAGGGGGAGATAGAATCCTGATTGTTAGAGAACAGGGCTGAGTAGCAGCCTGGGTTCAATAGTCAGTAAGTCAAATTTGAGTCAGGAGCTGAGAAGCTCTGCAGATCAGACCTATAGAATTGAAGGATCCTAGCCAATCCCCAACAGGAGGCTTGGAAAGGGGCTGGAACAACCTTTAAGAGTTTCTGAACCTGCTTAGCTGCAGGAGAGTTCAAGTGGAAGACAGAGAGGAACATGTGAGGCTGAAGGCAGAAGCCTAGATGGAGAGAGAGGCCCACCTACAGGCAGCCAAGCTGGAAAGGAAGAAAGCTAAGAGCTTCACTGGCCCCCAGAGGGAGGACCACCTGTACAGCAGGGAAGGAGTGGCCCAAAAAGAAGGCCTGGTAGCAGCCACCAACCTATCAGCAGTACAGGAGAGGATCTGAGTGAGTACCCTGCACCCCTTTGGCGGATAGGGGAAGGAGCACTCTGGTGGGAAACCAGATTCGCCACCTACCTGGGACTGTTCATTTCCTAAAACAACAGGAACCGGGTCCCCTGTTCAGAGATACCTCCAGATTGCTGAATGAAGGAAAAGGAGTTCATCTAGGGTCTGGGGTGGTAGATGCTGGCTAGCTCTCCAACAGAGTGTTGCAGTGAAGGCTTGTAAATAGTTTCAAGAAGTTGTCCTCAGTTCATCAGTTCCCTTGGGTATCCTGTACACCCCTAACCCTATCCCAGTTCAAATCCCCTAAATAAAAATAACAAAACCAAAGCTCGAGGACCAGGGGCGGACTGACCATTTGGAAACTTGGGCACTGGCCGAGGGCCCGGGGTCAGTAGGGGGCACCATGAGATGCCCCTGTTACCTTTTTCATAGGCTTTTTTGAGTTTGGGCAAGGACACAGGGGCCCCATGATCCCCTATTGCCCGGGGGCCCCATGAATTATCAGTCCGCCCCTGTCGAGGACTGATCTATGACTCTGGATGCAAGCCTGTGTGATGATGCGTGTTGTCTGGCTGTGCAGGACTATAGGGGGGCCAAAATCTCTTTGCAACTCCAAAGGGGGTAGTGCTACACCTGTAATAAATGAGAATATATCTACATTATTTAGTATTTTAAATATATCTGTTCTAAGTTCAGTCTTAAAATTTCTGCTTACTTCTGGACTATTTCCTGCCTGAATTAAAAACAAAATCAAAAGATGGTAGCTGTTAGCATTGCAGAACTAGACTTACTTTCCACCAGGATGATCCTGCAGTGCCTTGGAAAAAGCGTGGGAGCATGTGAAAGGGCCATCAGGCCAGGAAACATTCTCACCTTGTGCTATGCATCGCAATGTAAGATGAGTTAAAGGTTATTAATCTGGCAGTCAGAGATCTGTTGCCTGCTTGAAAAAACACTGCTGTGACAACTAACAGCGGGTTTATGCTTAGTAATTTCTTCACTGCTCATAGCAGGCTTGCAAAGAACACCCAGTACAAAAAAACCGACCAATAAGATAACAGATTAACCAAAGATACCCAGGCCATAGCAGGCTTATTAGATTGTGGGACATGATGTGAATGATTCAATATTCTTTATTTTACATTCTCCCCTTTTCTTACCCCCCCCCCACCTTGGCGCATTCCCTCTAACCAAAAAATTT